AATATTTTATTTATTATTTTTATTTTATGTGTATGAGTGTATTGCCTGAATGTATGTGAGTGCACCATGTCGTGCAATGCCACAGAGGTCAGAAGAGGGCTTTGGATTCCCCTGGAACTGGCGTTAAGGATGGTTTATAGCCGCCATGTGGTGCTGGGAATCCAACCCAGGTCTTCTCTACAAGAGCAGTCAGTGCTCTTAACTGCTGAGCCATCTCTCCAGCCCCTTAAAAATATATTTTTTTTGGTCTGTTTTTGAGGCAGGGTCTCCCTGTAGCCCCAGCTATCCTGGAACTCACTATGTAGACCAGGCTGGCCTTGAACTCAGAGATCCGCCTGCCTCTGCCTCCCAAGTGCTGGGACTACACGCCCGGCAAAAATTATTTTTAATTATAAGAGAGTCAGATGTGGTGACAATGCCTGTACTCTCTAGCTACTTGGGAGTTGAAGGAATGAGGATCAAAAATTTAAAGCCTGCTTGGGCTACAAGAATGAGTTCCAGACCAGCCTGGGTAACTTAGTGAGTTCCCATCTCAAAATGTAAAAAGAGAAAAAAAAAAGTAAAAAGAGAGCTGTAGATACATGTAGTTCGATGGTAAAGTTATTGCCTAGCCTATTAGAGGTCCTGGGTTCAAACTTTTGTACTGCAAAAATAAACAAATGAATTTTTAAAAATAGGGCAGAGGCTATAGCTCTGTAGTAAAGTGCTTGCCATGCATGTTTAGGACCTGGGTTCTATTCCCACTATGTCAAAAAGACCCAAACCAACCAGTCAAATAAACAAAATACCCCCAAACAAAACCCCTAAAAGGTATAGGCAGTCTCTCCCAGCCCTGTCCTCCAGCAGCTTTTTGTCCTATCTCCCCCCCCCCCAACCCATGGAAGACACCAATAGAAGTTCCTTGTGTCTTCTGTTGGGTAGCTTGTTTTCCCCGTGGCCTTGGTTTGGCAGTGTTTGGAATTACATACACAGGGCATCATATGCTTTCAGGACTGAGCTCTGAGACCACCTACCATGGTAGGGTCCTGGGCCCCCCTGCTCAGACTCAGACATAGGGAAGAGACCTAGAAACGGTCCCTACCAATAGAAAAGAACCATAGAAAAGAACCAAGTTTGACAATGCTGCACAGGGGTTATTTGTGGGTCTGTCTGCTGTTGCGGCATCTTTGGGTGCTGAGGGCTGGCAGATAGTAGTTAAAATAATTGGCTTTGGAACTATATTAAGTTTGAATCCCTGGCACTGGAACTTACTAACTGTATGGCCTGGAGCAATTCTTTAAACTCCCTAAGCCTCAGTTTCCTTGTCTATAAAGTGGGGATAAAGATCGTACCTGTGTAACAAGGCTGTGGTGAGGAATAACTCACAGAAGTCATGTAAATGATATTGTAGCAATGTGCCTGGCATGGGACAATACTCCATTAAATGATAGTGTCACTATCCCCATAATTATTAGCTTATGTCAGAGAAGGCTGAGTAGAAGCTGCCGGTGGAGGAGGAAGAGATTGTCTGATGACTGTGGGGGTGCACATGTGTGAGGCATGATCTTGGCCTGGAGGATCTGAGATGTACATACACGTGTCCCTATCTCTTAAGTCATGTGTGTTCAGGGCCATGCTCCTGTGCCTTTGATGGCAGTGTGGAAAGTGGGCCCTCCCCCACTCTGCCACGCTTCTTCTCGTTCCTTGCTCTGAAAAGAGAAGTACAAGTGAGTTCCCCCAAGGGGTCGGCCGCGCCCCTTCCTGTCCCCGCCCTGTCGGCTGCCCCAGGCCAGTGGAGTGGCAGCCCCAGGAGCAGGACAGCAGGTTGGGGTAGTAGGAGGCCTAATTAAGCCCCAAGAGCCTTGCTTGAGACTCAGCTCTAGAATTTTCTGTCTGCCCTGACAGGCCGTTCCTCCACATTCTCTGTAGTAAGTTCCTCAGCAGGAGTCCCACGATGGTGAGGTAAGGGCCCGGGCCCACAGAAGGTAGGAGGCAACGGTGACCTGGAGCCCAGGGGACCTATCCTTACCACCCTGTGCACCTTCAGGTGGTTTCACCGGGACCTCAGTGGACCTGACGCAGAGACCCTGCTTAAGGGTCGGGGAGTCCCTGGAAGCTTCCTGGCTCGGCCCAGTCGCAAGAACCAGGGTGACTTCTCCCTCTCAGTCAGGTAGGTGGCCCTCCCTGTACTTTGGCAGTTTGCTTTGTGGGTCTTAAGCCCTCCTTGGTTCTGTTTTGTGTTGCCTGTTTAGTGTCCCTGCCTGCAGCCCCAGCATGTCCTCACCACTATCTGGGACTACCCCATGCCTGTGTGATCTTGCCCCTTGGCTGTCTCCCAGCTCACCCTACCTGTACCATCTCTGCTCTGTATCCGGGGTCTTACCACCTCATGCCCTGCAGGGTGGACGACCAGGTGACCCATATTCGGATCCAGAACTCGGGGGATTTCTATGACCTGTATGGAGGGGAGAAGTTTGCGACGTTGACGGAGCTGGTGGAATACTACACTCAGCAGCAGGGCATCCTGCAGGACCGCGATGGCACCATCATCCACCTTAAGTATCCACTGAACTGCTCCGACCCCACCAGTGAGAGGTGAGGGGCGTTGCAGCCTGGCTCTCTCCCTTGAGATAAATGTAAAGGAGGTGAGCACTTGGCCCAGGCAGCCTTCTGCTCAGAGTCCCTACCTCATCCTTACCTTCTCTACCCCCTGCTCCAACTCAGGGCTCAGAGCTTCTTTTCTCCATAGCCCCATGACTCCCAGAACTAACCCACCTCCCGTCCCCTGAGGAAACAAGAGAAGGTCCCCTGTCCCCCGCCTTTCTGCAGGATTCCTGCTACCTGGCAACCTAGTCCTGAGCCTGTCAGCGAGGCCACTCCTTGTGGCTGGTGTTTCCCAGCAGCTTGGCCCTGTTGCTAGAAAGCTCTTCCTTCTGTGGAACTGCACTGCCTTCCTACAGCTTTTTACCCAGCCCAGGGTCTCTTAGCCCTGCCTGATGTTGATGTTGTGGCTGGTCAGGTTATGGAGAGTCACTGTTACTGGGATTCTTGGTGCCTTATCTCAGCAACCCAATGAGGATGGAGCTGGGCAGAGCTTGGCCAGTCCTTTGATTGAAGGAAGGTCATTGAAAACAGGGTGTGATGTACTTACAGGTATTGAAAGCCCAGGCTGACCAGACTCAGGGCACCCTTCACCAGTGTTGCTAAGACATGGCCCCCATAACTGGACTGGCTATTCCCATTGGTTTCCCCAGTGTGTGTGTAAGGGGAGGGCTCATGGATGCTTCTTCTGACAACTATATGTGGCTCATCTTAGTAGCTACTTCCCAGTAACTGACAGATCCTATTAAAGTGAAGGGCAGTGGAATAACCACAGGGGTTTCTCATGGACTCTGGGAGCCACAACAACTTGCTCTAAATATTATATTTGTATATTCACTATTCAAATGACTCTGAACTTTGCTTCTGTCAGTTCCCTCTGTCTCTTTCTTTGTCCCTGTCTCTCTCTTTACTTCTGTGCCTGGCCTTGTGCTTTGCTGCTGAACTATTTCTTTGGCAGATTTTAGTCTTTCTTGAGATTCATTCCTGTAAAGTTACCTTGATAGTTTTGTTCAAGTCACTGTATAAAACTTAGAATTGGAGGTCTAAGAGATGCAGGTCAGTTGATAGAGTGCTTCGTTAGCATGCATGAAGCCAATTAAGTTCAATTCCCAGCACAGCATAAATCTGGTGGGTGGCACATGCTTGTAATGTCAGGCAGAGGTAAGATGATCAGAAGTTCAAGGTCACCCTCACCTATATAATAAGTTTGAAGCCAGCCTGGGCTACATTGAAGCCCTGACTCAAAAAACTAAAAGCCAGGTGAGGTAGCGCATACCTTTTGTGCAGCATTCAGGAGGCAGAAGCAGGCGAATATCTGTGAGTTTGAGCCAGTGTCTGAGTTTGAGGCCAGCCTGGTCTACATAGGGAGCTCCAGGCCAGCTGGGGCTACATAGTGAGAACATCTCAAAAACTAAAAACAAAACAAATAATAAGAAAAAAAGAAAACAGAACCAAAAAGACAGGTAAAAGCGCTGCGGTCCACCGTTGGAGCCTCTTAATTGGCATAATGCAGTAGCTGAGGACCATTTCCTTGGAGGCCTTCTCTTCTGGTAGTGAAGAGGGAGGAGAGGGCTCTCTTTGTGTTGGCCCCTACTTCTTCCCCCTCCCACCTGAAACAGGGTGGTCTGGCCTCTCAGATTCTCCCTTACCTCCTTGTGACCTCCCTCAGTTGCTATCCCAAGCCAAGGTCTGCCCTGCTGGAGGAGACAGCCTTTGGAGCTGATCGGCTCACTGTGTGAGGGGAAGAAAAGGGCTGAGCAGGCAGCGGTCGAGGGGGTGGGGTACCGGGAAGGGGGTGGAGACAACTTGGGCACTACACTAGATTCAACATGCATGCTATACCACTGAGAAGGGCGTTAGGGCTGACTCCGAGAGGCGCTTTGGGTAAGCAGCTAGGAAGCCCAGTCTCACCCCTAACCCTGGGTCCTCGTGTCCTTGCCCCTCCTCTTCTGGAAATTTGCATTTATCCCCTCAATGGTGAGCTCTATGCCTGTGGTCAGCTCACATTTGCATGGAGACTTCCTCATCCTGTCCCTGGCTGAAGGGGCTGAGCCCCCTCCCTTTGCTTGGGGGCCATAGACTGTCCCTGAGTGTTGGCTGGGGTGGCCCCAAGGACCTGGGGTGGGATAGGAGACCCTGGAGGGCCCGGAGTAGTGGTGTCCTCTGGGCAGAGGTGAGAAGGGTCAGGACAGACTGAGCCCCTCTCTCTCCTTACCCCCCATCCCTGCGGTTGGAAAATGCCCCCCCCCCCCAGGCTGAAGAAACCTCACAACCTCACTTCTCACTCTCTCCCCAAAAGGAGTTTTGTGTTTTTTCCATCACGTGGTTTCCTGTGGGGCTAGGCATTGTGGGGCTACAGTTTCCTCCTGGGAAGGGGGTGCTTCACGGAGGAAAGGTTCTAGTTCTGCTTTCTGCCCTGCAGCTCTTGGAGCCCCTTTGGAGCCCTTGGAGCCCCTTTGAGCCCTTGCAGTGACATTAGCCTGGGCACCCAGTGGGGTGTTCTGTTCCCTGCCTTCCTGGGGGAGTTCTCCATCACCCCTTCTGGTTTCTGTCTTTCCTGGCACCCACTGCCCTCTGCGGTTTGGGTCCCTCTTCATCTCTCTGGCCCTACTTTTTCTCCAGGCTGTCTGTGCTTCATGGAGACACTTCATTTTGTTCCTCCTAAGAGTATGGATATTGTTTGCCTTTCTGATTGTCTTAAACTTTCAGAGGAGGCTCTAGGTTTGGTTAGAACTCTTTCTTTTCTTGTTTATTTTGGTGCTGGGAGTGGAACCCAAGGCCTTACATGTCCTACTAAGCTACATCCTCAGTCCTTATGGTTAGAATTCTGGTGGTTTGCCTTTTATCAATCAAGGACTTGGGACCAGTGTACAAAGTGCTTAACCTCAGTTTCCTCATCTATAAAATGGAGATAATGATAACTTCTCAGCAGTATTTTTTTTTTTTTCCTAGCTGAGTATGGTGGGGCACACCTTTAATCCTAGTACTCAAGAGGCAGAGGCAGGAGTATCTCTGTGAGATCAAGCCAGCCTGGTCTACATAGTGAGTTCCAGGCCAGCTAGGGCTACAGGGAGACCCTATCTCAATCCCCGAAACTAAACCGGGCATGGTGGTGCATGCCTTATTAATCCGAGGACTCCAGAGGCAGAGGCAGAGGTAGGTGAGTCTCTGTGATTTCAAGGCCAGCCTGGTCTACATAGTGAGTTCAAGGCCAGCTGGGGCTACCGGGAGATTCTGTCTCAAAAAAACCAAAAAAAAAAAAAAAGAGAAACCCCCTCTTTGTTTTTAAAGTTTTTGTTACATTTTATTTATTTTGTGTGCATATGTGTGTGTTTACATGCATACATGTCATGGTGTGTGTGTGTAGTGGTTAAAGGACAACTCACAGGAGTTGGTTCTTCCTTATCATGTGGGTCCCTAGGGGTCCTTAGGGCTTGAACTCAGGTTGTTAAGCTTGGTAGCAAGCACTTTTTTTTTTTTTGGTCTTTTTGAGACAGGGTCTCCCTGTAGCCCCAGGTGTCCTGGAACTCACTATGTAGACCAGGCTGGCCTTGAATTCAGAGATCCGCATGTCTCTCCCTCCCCAGTGCTGGGATTAAAGACGTATGCCACCATACCTGGCTCAGTAGCAAGCACTTTTACCCCACCAGCCATCTTTTTTTTTTTTGAGACAGGATCTTACTCTGTAGCTCAGGCTGGCTTGGAACTCCTTGAACATGCAGTAACCCTTTTGCCTCTGTCTCCTGAGGACTGGAATTACAGGTATGTGCCACCATGCTTGGCTTCTTGTTTTATTTTTGAAACCGTCTCACTCTGTGGCTCAGGCTGGCCTGAAACTCACCACGTAGAGCAGACTGGCCTCAAACTTGAGGCAGTTTTGCTCAGCCTACCAAGTGTGAGTAAGCCAGCATGCCCAGTATTTTATTTTATTTTATTTTTGAGAAGGGAGGTTCTCAAAGCTATGTTTATATAGCTCAAGCTGGCCTCAAATTCATTACTTTTCTCATGCTTCCTGAGTAGTCGGGACTACAGATGTGTGACACAAAGTCCACTGTTTTCCTTTGAGCATTCTTGTGAGGTAGTAATAAGCCTAAATGCAGTGGTACTGAAAGCTTGTAACTCAGGCCTGGCAGGTAGCAGTCCTTGATTACCCTGCCCACTCTGTGAGTGAAGGCTTAGTACTTGCTCTTAGGCCCAGTTGCCATCTTTCCAATTTTGCATTTTTCTCTAGGTGGTACCATGGCCACATGTCTGGAGGGCAGGCAGAGTCACTGCTACAGGCCAAGGGCGAGCCCTGGACGTTTCTTGTGCGTGAAAGTCTCAGCCAACCTGGTGATTTTGTGCTGTCTGTGCTCAGTGACCAGCCCAAAGCTGGCCCAGGCTCCCCTCTCAGAGTCACTCACATCAAGGTCATGTGTGAGGTAAGGCAGCTGGGCTGTGGGAAGGCCTCATGCTCGGGCCTCAGCATGGGCTGTCTGGAGAGTCTGCTTGGGTTGGATCTAAGCCTGAGGGTACTAAGGGGGAGGGGTGCCAGGCCCTGAGGTGTGGCCCTACTTGGTGCATCTCAGGGTGGACGCTACACAGTGGGGGGCTCAGAGACCTTCGACAGCCTCACAGACCTGGTGGAACATTTCAAGAAGACAGGGATTGAAGAGGCGTCAGGTGCCTTTGTCTACCTGCGGCAGGTGAGGGGCCCACCTGGCTGCCTCCTCCTTCCCCTGAGCCATTGCAGATACGGCTTCTGAGGTGTCTCAGTCACTGACTTCCTGTCCTCACCCTTTCTAGCCTTACTATGCCACTCGGGTAAATGCTGCAGACATTGAGAACCGGGTCTTGGAATTGAACAAGAAGCAGGAGTCAGAGGACACAGCCAAGGCTGGCTTCTGGGAAGAGTTTGAGGTGTGCTCTGGGGTCAGCAGAGCTGGGATAGTTAAGACCTTTGGCTGCCTTGCCCTTTTTAATGTGCCTGACACACTCTGAGTTGTGGCCTCTCTACCTGAGGATGTGCTCTGGCGCCAGTGCTCAGTTCTCCTCTTACCTTTCAGAGTCTGCAAAAGCAGGAGGTGAAGAACTTGCACCAGAGACTGGAGGGTCAGCGGCCAGAGAACAAGGGCAAGAACCGCTACAAGAACATTCTCCCCTGTGAGCACTAGCCCCTCGATGCCTCCCTGACAACTTTGGTTCACCCCACAGCCTGCCCTGCCTGCAGCAAACTTCCCCCATCTCCATCTTCTGCTCAGAAAGTATCTCTCCACCTCCCAGCAGAGCTCTCCTCCTCTCAAGAAGCCTCTTTGTTTCCCAAGAGTGTCCCCTCAACCAACAGGCACACAATCTCTGCCCTGCCACCCTCTGCTTACAAAGCCTCTACCCTACCCCAGACACATCATTTCCCATCTGCTGTCCTATTCTCTATGAGTCTGTGGCTTTGGAGACAAGAACAGCCTGTTAGCTTGGGAAGGGTCTACCCTGGGGAATGGCCCAAGCTGTTCTTCTCTACCCATGCCAGTTGACCACAGCCGAGTGATCCTGCAGGGGCGTGACAGTAACATCCCTGGGTCTGACTACATCAATGCCAACTACGTGAAGGTGGGTGGGGTGGGTCATGTGGGAGCAGAGGCTGGGCCCTGGGAGCTCCCTGTGTCTTAGGGCCCCTAGGAACAAACACCTCTGGGCAAAAGTGAAGCTGGAACACATGGGACAGATTCCCTTCCGGGCAGGGAAAATGTCTGCTGGGTCTTGAGCTGGGGTCTTTTAAAAGAGAGGCTTCTGCCTCCTGCAGAAGGCTGGAAGATGTATTTTTTTTAGGTGGGGGGGGGGGGGGGGGGGGGGGGGACTGGAGTCTTGGTGATACAGGCATATCCTAGGCCCAGAGGCTCACAGTCCTGGGGTGGGTTTCCCTGTGCTTGCATCCAGAACCAGCTGCTAGGTCCTGATGAGAACTCTAAGACCTACATTGCCAGCCAGGGCTGTCTGGAGGCCACCGTTAACGACTTCTGGCAGATGGCCTGGCAGGAGAATACCCGTGTTATCGTCATGACTACTCGCGAGGTGGAGAAAGGCCGGGTAGGGCAGAGCCCCACATCACCTTCCTGACCTTGCGCTCTCTCCTTAGTGCTTGTTTACCATCATTATAAAAAAGTAAACTCAGGGGCTAGCAAGATGGCTCAGCCGGTTAAAGGCATTTGCCACCAAACCTGACAACCTGAGTTCCATCCCTGGGACCCACAAGGTAGGACAAGGGAACTGACTTCCACAAATTTTCCTCTGCCATATGCATGCAAGCCATGGCACACATGTGCCTACATACACACACATTCACAAGTGTAAGTTATATGTGCATGCATGCACATGTGTACACACAAATAAATGTAATTTTTTTTTAAAGGCAAGATCAGATGGTGGAATAGGTCCTCAGGGACAAAGGCCCAACGCCAGTCAGGAAACTAAGGCCTTGAGATAAAGCCTCCCCTATATACTGTGAGTCCCAGACACTGCTTCCAACCAGATGTGCTCCTCAGCTTCACACTCTTAGGTATGAGTGTACAGCCCAGTGGCGGGCACTTGCCTAGTATGTGTGAACTTCAAGCCCTGGTGGCTTCCTTTCCAATACATGTGGTTCTCTTTAATGAGCACTGCTCTGATGGTCTGAGCATTCAGGCTCCTGAAGGCACCAGCTCAATTTTTGCTAGGAATTGACTTTCCCCCTCCATGTGTGGTGGACTCCACAGTTTGGAGGATCTAGCTTAGACGCTACTTCCTATCTGGAGCTATCTTGAATTGCTTCCATAGTCCAGTGAGGGAACTGATGTCTTCCCTGACCCTGCTCCTGATAGCACACTCTGGTTTACTTAGCTTCCCTATGCATCAGCCTGTGTCCTAGGGCATGGACAGTGTCTGATTTGGTTTTCTGTTTTTGTGGTGTTGGGCATGGAGCTCAGAGCCTTGCTCATGCTAAGCACATGTGCTCTCACTGAGCAGAGGCCATCCCTTGCCCTAATTTGTGTTTGAACTCCAGCTTGGTTGGTACCACTTCAGTGGTTAGGGAATGGATTGTGAGGTTAGGTGGCTGGCTAGGTTCCACCTGGAGACCAGATTCCAGGTCTGATTCTGGGCTGGCTCATCCATTCTTCTAACAAAAGTCCAGGTCAGGGATGGGGAGGTGACTCAGTTGTTAAGCATTTGCCATGCAAGTATCAGGACTGGGGTTTTGGTCCCCAGAAACCCACGCAAATTCTGGGTGGGTACAGCTTGCCTGTAATTCTAGTTTTGGAAGGCAGATTCAGGGGATCTCCACAGCAAGCTGATGACTAGCAAGATTTGCTATGTCGTGAGCTCTAGGTTTGAGAGATCCTGTCTCAGTGAATAAAATAGAGTGAGGAAATGATTCCTGACATCAACCTTCGTTCTCTACCTGGACGTGCACCTACATACATGTATGTGCCTATTCACATGCAAAAAAAAAATGTCCAGATTGGCACCTCAGGGCCTAGAAACAGCCCCAGAGCCCTGCTTCTATGCTTTATCCCCTTCTCTCCCTTTCTAGAACAAATGTGTCCCATACTGGCCGGAGGTGGGCACTCAGCACGTCTATGGGCTCTACTCTGTGACCAACTGTGGAGAGCATGACACTGCTGAGTACAAACTCCGTAACTTACAGATCTCTCCACTGGACAATGTGAGTGTCCCCAGCCTCTTCCCACTCCTGGAGCCTCCCCTTGGATTTGTTCTCTAGTCTGGGTGTATGGGACAGAAGACAATATTGTGTAGAAGCAGAGGGCACTGACCTCTATATCTTTGGCCCAGGGGGACTTAGTTCGGGAGATCTGGCACTACCAGTACCTGAGCTGGCCCGACCATGGGGTTCCTAGTGAGCCTGGGGGTGTCCTCAGCTTCCTGGACCAGATCAACCAGCGGCAGGAAAGTCTGCCTCATGCAGGACCCATCATTGTGCATTGTAGGTAAGAGCTGTAACACGGAGCTAATGTGAATACAGTAGCTGAGGAGCAAACAGTGCTAAGTCAGAGCCGTCAGCTGCTGTAAGCGATGCCCATAGGACCTCATGGAATGCCTTCTCTGACTCCCAGCCTCTTCTGGGCTCCCTCACTGCTCGAGGCCTCTGGGTGGACCTGGCTAGGACCGGCCTCCCAGCCTCCCTGCTGGCCCTTGGTCTGGTGTGCCTTCCCCAGAGGCCTCCCTAGGAGAGCCATCTAGTCCATACTGCCAGATACAGATGAGGAGACTGACTCTGCAACTGGCCTGGTCACCAGCAGTGAGTGGGAGGGGCTGGGCTGTCAGTATAGGCCCAGGTCTGGCTGTTGTTTTTTTTTTTTCATGGTCTTACTTAACCAGTTTTTTCCCAAACTTCCATCTGGGGTCAGTGTGGCTCCACAGCCCTCCCCTTTTGCCTTTTATGGCTCTGTGGCTTAGGTGAGGGGAGGTTGGCAGAGGTCAGCAAGGAAGAATAGAAGTCCTACAAATGAGTCTTCCCAGCTGGCCTGGTATGGGTGGATAGGAAACAGCAGGTGTCAGGGCTTGGACAGAGGCCTGCTTGCTTAGATTCTGTTCCCCTACCTACCAGCTGTGTGATCTTAGACAAATCACTTAACTTCTCTGATTCTCAGATTTCTCCTTTTATTGCCCATTGCTGGGTGTGGTAGCATAGACCTATAATCCCAGCTACTCGGGAGGCTGATATAGGAGAATTGCAAGTTCAAGGCCTGCTGGTGCTACTTAGTGAGTTCAAAGCTAGGCTGGGCAACTTAGTGATACTTTGTGTCCAAATAGAAAGAATATAAAGGATGGAGATAGAGTTCAGTGTGCTTGTCTAGCATGTGGGTTCAATCCTTAGTACTAGAAAAATAATAAAGTCAGGCTCATAGGGTTGTAAAGACTAAATGAGACTCTATCACACATTTGAAATACTCGGAACCCTCCAAAAAAATGGGGGTGGCATCTGGATGCGACAGTGCATGACTGTAACCCTGGCATTTGGAAGGCTGAGGCAGGAGGATCATGAGTTGTTAAATAGCAAGACCCTGTCTTAATAAAAAAAAATAGGGGATGGTGGTAGTGTGTCTTTGATGGTGCCTCATGTCAGGCAGGAAAAGGAATGGGAGAAACAGGAACCAGTTTGGTCCTCTTCCCACTCCCTCTCTCTGGCCCCAGACATGCATGGGCTTCAGACTTCCTCCTTCTCACCAGCAGTTTCCCTGGAGCTGGGCTGAGTGGGCTGAACCTGGAGGTATCTCCATGCTGTCTTGGGGGCCCAGACTACCCTCCTAGGGACAACCCACCACCAAGAATTACTCTCCTACCCCCCTCCCTGCCTCATTCACATACTTCTTGAAATCCCCATGGCCTTAATTTAGAAATTGCAGGAAGGAAGTGGTATTGGAGGTGGGGGTGTTATTTTTGACAATCTGGGTTTGAAATTAGACAGCTCAATTTAGGGCTGGGCTGTGAGTGAGACTGGGGTCTCCACTATCTTTTTGCCCAAGGGTAGTGGTGGAGGGCATGGGAGAAGGAGACATGCTGTTGAACTGTTTCTTCAGTGCCTGTGTCCTGGTCCTTGCTGGCCCAGGCCTGCTCTTACCTTGTGGCAGGGTTTCAAGAAAAGAGAAGTGAAGCTCCACAGAAAAAATCATAGTCAGTCTTTTTTTTTTGTGTGTGGTGCTGGGGATGGAACCCTGATCCTTAAACATGTCAAGCGCTTGAGCCACATGCTAAGCCAAATGTAACTTGTGTGTGTCTGTGTCTGAGGCCAGAGGCCTGAGTCTTTATTATTTTTTGGTCTTTTTGAGACAGGGTCTCCCTGTAGCCCCAGCTGTCCTGGAACTATGTAGACCAGGCTGGCCTTGAATTCACAGAGATCTGCCTGCCTCTGCCTCCCAAGTGCTGGGATTAAAGGCATGCACCACCACACCTGGCTGCCCACCTTATTTTTGAGATAGGGTCCCTCAATGAACTTGGGGCTCATTGATTCGGCTAGGCTGGCTGGCCAATGAGGTCCAGGGATCCTGTCTCCATCCACACCAAGCCTCCAGGGCTGGACTTCCACGGCGGCTGTGGCTAGCTTTTATGTGGATGCTGAGGATCTGAACTCAGGTTCTCATGCTTGTCTGACAGGCACTTTACTGACTGAGCCATTTCCCTAGTCCCCAAACATGATTCTTGAAGGCAGGGATGGATGAGAGAAGCTCAGACTACTTTGGGGAGCCTGTGGGACAACGGCAGGCTGTGGGGTCCTGTATCTCCAAGGAGCAGAGGATACCTACCAGTTGGGAGATGTGAAAAGTGGGAGGAAGACATGGAGGACACAGTGCTAGGAAAGAGGGAAATAGTGTCAGCACTCCAGAACAGGCCCGTGCTTGCACATCCTGTAACTGGGGTGGAAGCATGGGTAGAGAGCTGGGCATAGACCTGCCTTTGTGGCCTAATGACCCCAGAACATTACTAACCCCTGAGGCTGGAGCCTCTAGTTCTTCATGTCTGGGGCTGACCCCTGGACTCCCCATTTCCTCTGATGGGGACACCTTCTCTCTGCAGCGCTGGCATTGGCCGTACAGGCACCATCATTGTCATTGACATGCTCATGGAGAGCATCTCCACCAAGGGTGAGGACCCCTGGGGTGCAGGGGGGTGTGGGGGAGGGGGCAAGCAGTCCCTTGGCCTCTGCCTGGCCTCAAGTTCCATTGCCACCTCTGCCTAGGGCTAGACTGTGACATTGACATCCAGAAAACAATCCAGATGGTGCGGGCACAGCGCTCTGGCATGGTGCAGACAGAGGCACAGTACAAGTTCATCTATGTGGCTATGGCCCAGTTCATTGAAACAACCAAGAAGAAACTGGAGATCATACAAGTGTGTGCAGAGTGGGGTTGGGGGTAGGTTGGGGAGACTAGGTATGTCCTAGTTCTGTTGGTACCACCGTCCTCACACTACACCTTTGTCCACAGTCCCAGAAAGGCCAGGAGTCAGAATATGGGAATATCACCTACCCTCCTGCTATGAAAAGTGCTCATGCCAAGGCCTCCCGAACCTCCTCTAGGTGAGTGACCCTGCTCGCCACCCCAGGATCTTCTCCTTCTCCTGCCCAACTTTAACTTCCCTTTTTGGAGAAGACTGGTGTATAGGTTGTGGAGACCTTGGTTCAAGGTCAAACTCAGTTTCTACTACCTCTGTTCTGTAGTTTGTCCTGAAGTACCCATTATAACTATGTGTGGGCCTGGGCTGGGGACCAGCTGTGGACTCATACATGAGATGCAGTCTCTCCCTGGGAGCTTTGGGTCCAGTGTAGGGACAATAAACAAGTTACCTTGCTTCCTGGCCTCACATCATGAGAATCTGGGGGTGGGGTAGGGATGCTGCAGGTGTTGGGTCATCCTGCATAGATTCTAGACCTCCCTCCCACACCCCAGACACAAGGAGGAGGTGTACGAGAACCTGCAGAGTAAGAACAAAAAGGAGGAGAAAGTGAAGAAGCAGCGGCCGGCAGACAAGGAGAAGAACAAGGGCTCCCTCAAGAGGAAGTGAGCCTGGCGTTCTTCTGCAGGTGGCCATGGTGCAGCCCCTTCTGCATGGTCCCTTCCCTGCCCTCCCCTCAGCGCTTCCCTTGACTAGACATGCATGGGGTGGCCACAGTCTTACCCTACCTGCCAGGGTGTTCTGAGATCTGCTTCTTGTGTTCTGTGGTATGCCTTTTCCAGGTTCTAGATACCCTCTGATCCCCTTCCTCTCTTTTGTCTGCAGCCTCAGCCTCTGTCCCTGCAGATGCCTTCACTGGACAGACCAAGATTTATGGCTCACAGCAGACCCTAGGACTGCCCCCTACCCCCATTCTATTGTAATTTAAATGGCTGTGGTCTCCTGAACCTGTATATAGCCCAGCAAGGCCCCAGGCAGAGCCAGGCCCTTCTAGTCTTGTAAATAAAGCCCCTGGACCACTGTGTGTTGCCTCCAATTCTGTGTGCTCTGTGTGTTCAGTGACTCTGGCCAGGAGGGGATTGGGATGTCATATATGGCTACATAAAAAGCTCAGCCTCAGCTGGACGTGGTGACGCACGCCTTTGGTCCCAGCACTTGGGAGGCAGAGGCAGATGGATCTCTGTGAGTTCAAGGCCAGCCTGGTCTACATAGTGAGTTCCAGGACAGCTGGGGCTACAGAAGACCCTGTCTCAAAAAGACCAAAAAAAAAAAAGCTCAGCCTTTTTTGGTCAGGTAGGCCTGGTTCTGGATGCTGCTTCACATAGGCCTGAGTTCCTCAGGCTCAGAGTCTCTCTCTCTCTCTCCCCCTCTCTCTCTCTCTCTCTCTGGATGGAACCTAGGGCCTTCTCTGTGGTAGAAAAGTGCTCTATTACTGACTTACATCTCCTTAAAATAGAGAATGATTCTATTTCATTTGCCTTCCCTGGGCTGGTAGTGAAGATCATTGAGATAATAGGTGAAGATTATACACTGGCCACTGGCCCAGGCACTATTTAAGAGACTATAATAATTCATTCTAGTTGCCTCTTGTTTTATTTTTTATGGTACTGGGGATGAAACTCAGGGCCTCCCACATGCCAGGGAACTGCTCTACCACTGAGCTATACCCCTAGCTTGCAATCTAGGTACTTTTATCATTCTCATTTTACAGTGGAGGTACAGAGTGCTCAAATAACTTGCTCAAGGTTACAGGACTACTGGGCTTCTTTGGAGATAGGGTCTTCTGTAGCCACAGCTGGCCTAGAACTTGCTATATAGACCAGGCTGGTCTTGATCTCACAGAGATCTGTCTACCTCTGCCTGCTGGTGCTGAGATTAAAAGTTTGCAAACACCATATATTTTAATTTAGGCCTTCTGGCCCAAGCCCTCATTACCTATACCGCCCCCCACCCCCGAAGGATTCATCATGAGTTCTGTTGCTTGCTGGCTGCTGGATCCAACAAGGAGGAAGATTTTTTTCGAAGGGGCTGGGAAGCACAGATGGAGTGCTGGTCTCAAGACACACAGAAGCACCCCACCCCTTTCCCTGCTGAGGTTGCCTCCTGATTTAATCCCTTAAGATCATTGGACACTGAAGATCATTTTATTATTTTGGTCCCCTTCATTCCCCTGTGTCTAGAGTGGGATTCTTTATATAAAATTTGAGTCTCCTGGTCAGTTCAGCCACACCTTGGCAAGACCTGGCTCCCACCATGACACCTGCTAAGGAGTGGGTGGGTTCTAAGCACAGAGGCCAGACTTCCTCCTGTGTCACAGGTCCTGGATGAGGGTGACAACTTAGCATGTACCCTCCCAGGACTTAGGAGAGGTCAGGGAGACCAAGCCAGGATCAGTCCACAAACAACGGAAGTATAGAGAAGGACAAGTATGGAGAACGGAAAACAAAGAGGGGAGATTGAGCAACACCACAAAGGCTCTGAGGAGCTGTGCCCTCCAGGGGGTGGATGGGTGGGGCACCACCTGTCTGCCTCAGGGCCCCTCTCCTGGCAACAACTGAACCTCCCAGAAGAAAGGCAGGTCCAGTTCCTCTAACCGCCCTGGGCTAACAGCTCTTGGGTTGTGATTTGGACTCAGGAGGGCCAGGTGGAGAGGTCAGCAGAGCCCAGCTGAATCCAGTCATCCCTCTGGGTGAAACTGCTGCTGGGCAAGGCAAGCAGGCCTGTTTTCCACACTGGGTCAGGGCTGGGGCCTTTTGGCAGGGACAGGCACCCCAACACCAGGGTAAGACCAAAGACTGACAAGGAAGCATGCTGTGGAGGTTGGGAGAGCCACAGGTGTGGTGGGGCTTCCTCCCTACCCAGTTCTCTCCCATCCCAGGTTGAGCACAGACCAATGTCTGCCCAGCTGATCACACACTGACCTCAGATGGGCCTCTGACTCTGGCTGAGGGCAGTGTTGGAGGCCTCAGATGAGGATTCAGCCTGGGGAAGGAGCTGCTAGAACATCTAAAGAGCGCCTCTCCCTTTATTCCTCTGGAAATGGGGAGAGACTAGTAGACAGGAGGAAGAGAGGTCACCAGGAAAGGGTGGAAGGCCTGGTGGGGTGGTCAGACCTCAGAGGAGGTGCCCAGGACTCATGCTGGGAGAGAAGGGGTTAAGGCAGCAAGGGGGGCAGCCTATGGCAGGAGGACACACCTGTGCGCAGGGCGGCAGGCGGGGCCCAGGTGAGGCGCCTGAGCTGCACAGCAGGTGGAGAAGGAAGAGGAAGAGTGGAGGCTAGGAAGGCTCGAGGCTGTTGAATCCCAGGTCCTAGGCGCTCCTTCCTGCCCTCTGCACCACTCTGGGGGACAGGAGGGCCTGGTGACAGGTAAAGGCCACTCATCACATCACGGAGTTCTGGGGCTGAACTAGGAACTGTAGCTGGGGGTGATGAGGGCGGGTGAATCGGTGTGAGTTGGGGGAAGGGACGGGCTGTGGCGGGGCATTCGGAGAGGGCTCAGAGGCGGACAGCAGGGGTGGGGTGGGAGCTGCTGAAGCTGAGTTTGGGTCTCTGTCATGAGCAGCTAAGGGTGGGGCTGATGGTGGGCTGCAGAGCTCACCCGGAAGTGTCCCAAAGGACGTGGAGGTTGGGGGATGGGAGCTAGGGATCGGCGTTTCTCCACTGGGTGCTTGGGTTAGGCCAGGCCAGTCCCTGAGGTGGACCGGCTGGGTAGGGGCCCTCGTCTTACCCAGCAGTGTTTGGGTGCTGGTTGGGATTCTCTAATACTGCCGGGTAATGATGGAGGCCCCTGACCCTGTGTCAGCGCCATCCATTGCGTCAGGCTCCCCACTCCTCTACTACCCTGAAAGCCCCTTGTCCTGAATTGAGGGTGCTGCAGAAGTGGCTCTCTCTTGGCTGGTTGCCCACTGGAGGAACACACTGGCCCCAGCCCCTCCTCCAACCTGGTGTGATTTGTCATCTGGCTGATCCAGAACCTGAAGTTGACCTTGGCCTTGGGATTGTCTCCTACCAGCTCAAAGCCTCAGCCAGCCAGCAGCTGAGTTCCCTGTAGCACCTGGTCAGCTGTAGTTTGGTTTCATGTTGGTGGGCTCTGGGTCCATCTTCCAGTGCAGTGTTGGATGGTCTAAGTATGAAGCTCCTAACACTGTCTGGTAAAGATGGCCCCCGGGTCAGTTCCCTCAGCAGTGACCTTCAGGGGCCCTGGAGGCCTCAGGACCAACAATCTCTGACCTTCTGCACAGGCCGTTTGTGTGAATCACTAGGAAAAAAAGGGAACAACGGGAAAGAGACAAAATGGCTGCCTCCCTAACAGCAGCAAGGTTTGGAAACATACTTGGTCTCTAGGTGCCTTGTTTTCTCACCCTGGGAACAAGAGTGCCGATGGGAAACAGGTAAAATCCTGGTCCAGTCCCTTGGCCTGTCAGTCTCAGGATCCCTACGGCTGAGGAGAGATCAAGCTACTTCCTTCAAGAAGCTGAGGTGGAAGACTTGCTACATCTTGTAGTCCTGTTAAGACCGCCCCCCCCCCGCCCCCGCCGTGCATCCGGTACCCTGTGTTTTGTCTTCCGGTTCCATATATTCCTTATCTCCCCAGAAGGAAATAAGATGGCCAAGGGTCGTAGTGAGCTGCAGGTATTAAGCAATGACTTAAAATTTCCCAGTAGAGATTCAGTGTCTTATCTATGGACTGAAAATAGGTTCCAGTCTGGTTGGGCTGTGGGGGTGGGAAGCCCATCTCCACAGGGAGAACCTTTCCTGCAAATAGCTCATTACACCTGGTGACTGAGAAACAAAGTGCGGATAGTCCACTGGGCTTTGGAACACTCAAGTCCCTCAGTACCACACATGATCTCCCCACAGCTCTACGGAAGCTGGTTACCAAGGAAGCGGCTCCCGTTGGGGTCATCAGATTTTTAGTCTGGCTCAGCAAAGCCACAGCTCCTCCAGCCTTAAAAAAGGAGATGCTAGTAAATAAGCAGGTTCACTTGTAGAAGAGGAGGGTGGGGTAAAGGGTGCCCAGTGGGGCTTTTGGCTCTCAGGCCTGCTGCTCCCAGCTTTTTTTTTTTTTTTTTTTTTGGGACCCCAGGTGTGTCCAGGCAAGACTTTTGCGCCCTCTGCTGGCCGAGACATAGAGCGCATGCGTGACCAAATACCTGTGTGCTTCCCACCTAACCCATTCAGGTGTAAGGCCTCTGCTTCGGTTTTAGTAATAAAAATTTATTGAGAATTCCTGGGATGGTGGTTCTTTCCTCCCACTCTGAGGGAGGGAACAGCATTGTAGGAAATTACTGAGAAATCACACATGGACCCAACCCCCAAGCCATTCTCTCCAAAAGGGTTGGTCTTCGGTCTTCCTTAATCCAAGAGGGCAAGTGCTGAGGGACCATCACATGATACTGGGGTCGGGAGGGGTGTGCCAGAGATTCCCCCATCCTGCTGGATCCTCAAAAACTGGAGACAAAACCCATCCACTTCTCTGGGGGTGGAGTTTCTGATGATCACATTCATTTCTTACCCTTGATGAGGCTGTCACTAAAGAACAAAGGGATGGATCCAATGGATGTTATTTGGGATATAACGGTGAGGTGCAGAACACCCAAGGCCATTTCTTCCTCCCCAAAGGTCTTTTAGGAGGGAGGTGAGAAAGGGAAGAGGTGGGGCAGGAGGTGGGTTCAAGTGAGCAAGGGCAGAGCCACACTTACCTTCCTCTGTAGCCAGGACATCATGAAATGAACCGGAAACAAAGAGAAACACATGTGACTTGACAGCTTTAGGCCCTAGAGGCTCTAGACCCTCCTCTGCTCCCATGTAAAGATGACGAATGGGGTGGAGGCTAAGAGACTTATCTTGGCCCTTATTTCTGCTGCTCCAACATGCTTCCATGCACTGGACCTGCAGTGTGTGGGTTCTCAAGCGAGAACACTAAACATTTTTTGCTTAAATATTTATAATGAAAGTCTCTTTACATTAAAAATAAGATACTATTTTATCTCATAAAGCCAATCCTGGGGCAATGTAGGAACTGTCAGCCACCCACCCACTTTTCTGACTTTGGTTCAGAAGCGGTCAAGGGTCCGATGAGTAACAAGTACATGGGAGGAGATGTAGGTGCCCTGTTCTCTACACAGCACCACTTCTTACCGGGTAAAGCTTTCATCCTGGAGATTCAGCACAAGGTTGTCAGCTGTGAGATAGATGCGGTTCTGTGATGTGGCAATCTGCAGGGGTAGGGAGGGAGACACTTGTGTTAGCACGGGCCTCAAGTCTCACCCTGTGATTCAGTAACCACCCAGTGAAAGACAGCAATGAACAAGACAGGTTCCTGATCTGGTACAAGGATCCAGAGCTGAGCAGCGTTGCTCTCATCAACCCTAACAGTCACACAAACACAAAGCGGGGGTGGGGTGATGCACTGGAGGAGTCACTCCAGGGGGAAAGGCTCCCTTAAGGAGGTAGTTTAAGTAGACACCCAAATAAACCAGACTCATTCCACTTTGACTATGCAACTGAATACTTTCATCCTAAATGGGCAGCCCTGAGAAGAGTGGGTCTTCCTACTCACTGTCTTGGAGATGTTTTGGGCAGCCCGGATCTTTCGGAGCTTGATGTAGCCGGGATTCTTGCTGAGGGCTTCTCCAAGGTAAGCAGGGCAGAGTTAAGGGTCCACACAGGCCAGGCCCCACCTGTCACAACAATCCCCCACCAGAGCCCTCTGGGCTGTCAGATGCAAGGTTGTGCTCACATAGCTCATGCCTAACCACACTTTGGCCACCCCCTGTGGGCCTCCCTATAGGGTGCTGTCAGGAACTGTGGTGACAGCAGACATGAAGGCAAGGCCAGCAGTGCTATTGATCTGGCCTTACAGCAGGAAGCCAGTCCTTAGGCACCCCCACCAAGATTTCAGATCCCACCTACCCCCTCCCCCAGAAGCCAAGGGTCAGCAGGCAGAGTCGCATTCGCCTTAGTTTCATCAGCCAGCCCATGAGGAAGGATGGAAAACAGGGTGCCACAGGGGCTGGATCCAGCACTCTCTAGCAGAAGGATATCATCTTGGCGGCCTCAGCCTCCCCCTCAGCCTGCACGATCTTCTGCCGCTGTTCCTGCTTAGCTTTTTCCACCAAGAATTGGGCTCTCTGGGCTTCCTGCTGGGCTGTGATGGGAAGCGAGTGGGATTACAGCTGTGAAGGGACAGGAACCCCACATGCAACTCCCGCCTCCAGAAGCCCACCTCTTGGGACTTACCCACTTGTTTGGCTTCTACAGCAGCTGTGTACTCCCGGCTGAAGCTTAGCTCTGTGATAGCTACATCATCCAGGATAAGGCTGAAGTCCTTGGCTCGCTCTGTAAGCTCCCTTCGGATCAACAGGGACACCTGAGGGCAAGGGTGGGGAGGGGAAGGGAAGGGTGGTTTGAGGGAATCAGAACTGGAAGGAAGGTGATACTGCTGTGACCATCTGACAACCAGATTTCACTGGTACAGCAGGAAACTCACCAACTCCTTGCTCTACAAATATTCACTACAAATGACTTGGTTCAGTCTTTTCACATGATAGACAGCACTGGAAAGGTAGCACGACTGCCCCATTCCACACTGACCCCTAATCTTCTGTTCTCTTCAATGCAATATACATCTCCTTAGCTTCCTGACAAGCAAGGAAGGAACGGCTTTGAGGAAGAGATGTAGGTAAGTTTAGTCTGTCATGGCTTCCTCCTAACACTGCTATCACTTTCTAGAGTTGCTTATTTCCCCCAGTGGCCATCATTACAGCCTTTCCATGTAAATGGAACAAGAGTTAAGTTCCTTTTCTTGTAAGCAGGGGCTATTTAGTCAAGGATAACCCTGAACTTCTGATCCTCTCGCCCTTACCTCCTGAGTGCTGGGATTATAGGCACATGCCACACCTGGTTTATGCAGTGCTTGGGATCGAACCCGGGGCTTTGTGCATGCTAGGCAAGTATTCGCCAAATTGATATACTCCCAACCCCTGACAATTCTTTTCTAATGTCTTTCGTAGCCCTTAGGACCCTGGACTGAGGAGAGAAATGCTGTTACTACGCAGAAACTCAGACCTGGGCTCGCTGGGTAATCAGCTGCGAGGCATTGAACTTGGCTACAACACTCTTGAGCACCTCGTTGACAATGGATGGCAGCACTCGTTCCTCGTAGTCTAGCCCTAGACGCTGGTACATGCTAGGGAGCTCCTGGGCATTGGGTCGAGACAGCACACGCAGGGAGATGTTCACCATCTGCAGGTCTGAGGGAGAGGTCCAGGAGTGGCTGGTTAAGGTCAAGTCTCCCTCCCCAAACATTGTCTCCTCTATGATTATCAATGCTGTACAGCCTAGCACTCCTCTGGGAAGAAGACACAATCATGTTGACAAGGAAGATGTAACTGCACAGGTGAAACGAATCCTTGCCCACTGTGAAGTCCTCTTGCCCTGCACACCCTCTATCAGTACAGCTGACCCCTATTTTTGCCACCGGACTTAGTGTAACCTCTAAGGTACGCTCTACCCCGAAGCACCACAACCACCTGTCTCCCCACTAGTCTGTAAGAACTTGAGAACCAGGTCTTGTGACTTTTTATTCCCAAGGTCTACGGCTTAATGAATAAACAACACACATTAAAATAGCACAAAGAAGCACATTACTGCGAACTACTTGCCTCTGTGTACATGTGAATGAGGCAGAAGCCTGAGGAATCTCAAAGGCAGGGCTTCTAAGTATGGTCTACAAGGAAAGAACTAGTGACGAGTGGGGACAATTTCTCCAGGGCAAGGTGTACTGTGGATGTAATCAACAAGTCAAACAAAAGAAAAATGCTTTAAAACAAGGCTTTGATCTAGGCAGCAATTGAGACTAAAAAGGAAGTCCAATGTCTCCTTCAGTTTACACCAGGCAGTAGAGACGGTTAATAAAAACGTGCAAGCATACGGGGTTCTGGAATACACTGCTTTAACCCAGGAGGCTCTTGAAGATGTAGAAAGCAAGGCCTAGGAGACTCACACTACCACCTTCCGGACCTTGCCAGGCTCATTTGTTTACTTTAGGTTCCCATCTTCCATGCAGTTTTCAATTGCCTTTACTTACCTTTGGAGCCTGTGGGTGAGGAGATTTTTCGGGGTCTGGCCCGAATGTCATAGATGATGGGGTACTGGAACCAGGGGATCCTGAAAAGGAGAGGTCAGAGAGGAAATGGAAAACTGGTTTCATTGGCTTTGAAGGTTTCCCCTCATCACGTTTTAGGGCCTGCTCCTCCCCACGACCACAGACAAGGAGATCCTCTGTTCCCTATGGAGAATTTACGCACTGCAAGAGTTTTGGAGCAGCACCGAATCCTGATTTAAGTCTAGCTACAGCCATGGGACGGTCAAGGGTGAAGGCTCAGGGCCAGTTTGCTCTGCCCGCCATTACCTGAAGTGAAGGCCCTCGGCCAGGATGGTGTCCTGCTGCACGCCACCGATCCGATTAAAAAAGATGGCTCTGTGACCGCCTTCCACTGTGGGGAGAGGGTTGGGGATCAGGCCAAATTGCTGCTCAGGGTGCTGCTAGCCTCAGATGAGACAGGGGATGCGGGGGTAGGCCAGCGCGGACAGCGGGCGAGGCAGGACAGTGGCTCTGGGGACCGCGGAGTTTGGCCAGCGGAGGAGGTTGCTCACCCGTGAACACGGATTCGCGGACGCCATAGGCCACGGCACCTGCTCCCAACAGGAGCTTCAGCGCCGTGCCCATGCCCCGAGGCCCAGCGGGCAGGCGTCCTGCCAAGTCCTTCAGGTTCTGGGCCATGTCTGATCCTACCGAAGGCGGCGGCACCGGAGGTCAGGAGGGGGTGCCCGCCGCTTCTACCCCACTCCAGGTTGGAGACCTCGCCCTGCACACGAGGGTTGGCTGGGCCGGAGGGCTCGCGGGAGAAAGGGCACCGGAAGTGTGCTTCTTTCTCAACCCTCCCCCATTCGCTAGGCGCATCTGAACTTCGCGCACAGGAATGGCGTCTCCGGAAGTCCCACCCCTTTCTAGAGCTGTGCTCTCCCAGGGAGGCTACGGTAGCTCAGGACGGCAAGCCATCGCCATTTCCAATCTCCCTCTTTCAAAATGGTAGCAGGAAGTTTGCCATGAGGACGAGCGCGAGGTTCTGACTTCAGGACGTCAGCGCGGTTTCCGGTCTGCTTACAAGATGGCTGCGCCCAGTGGTGGATTCCAACCTCGTGAGCGGCGGGAACAGGACTGGGAGACTGCGGCCCCAAAGAGGCCCCGGCTTGGGGCAGGAAGCAAGAGCGGAGGCCGGAGGCTCATTGTGGTGCTGGAAGGGGCTAGTCTGGAGACGGTCAAGGTAGTTTGGAACAGAAAGTGTGGAATTAGTAAATGCATGGGATGCTGTCCTGCTGGGGTAATGGGCACGGAATGGAGAAAGCTGAGCAGTGAATCTTGCTTTTGAAGGATGACCTAGTTGCCCGTGTCTTGCTTTGACATCCTGGGTTGGCAATGTTTCCGTTTCCTCTTCTGTGACTCTCGTCTCCTTTCATTTGATGTATCAGTATTCTGTGACAGAAACATCATGTAAAGTAAGTGGGAAAGTGTGTCTATAGGGGCCTCTCATATCCCAAGACAAATGAGAAAGGTAGTTACCTTATTCTCTGGGTAGTTGCCCAGCCTTTATTGCTAAAGATGAGCTACCCTGCATTAAAACCTTGTGCAGTGTTTTCATTCCTTCTTTCTTGTGTCTTACCTTTCAGATAAAATTATTCAAATGAGTATCAGGTTCGAAAGTTTTAAGTCAGAACTGGATTTCCTTTTTTTTTTTCCCCCTCCCTGAGAAAGGGGTCTCACTATGTAGACCACGCTGGTCTGGAACTCAGAGATCCTCGTCTCTTGCTGGGAGCGCTGGTAATTAAACACATGTGCCTCCAAACCTGGTTGCCTATTAACTCTTGAGTGTTAAGTTTGACTTCAGGCTAGCAATCCCATAACTAATTTGCAAGTGTGTAAATCTTGCCTGTGTCAGTACGGTTTGAGAATGTAGACTCTAACTGTCTGGGTTCAAGTCCTTCCACATACTAGTTTTGTGATCATAGGCAGTAAGTTCACTTATTGCAATGGTTGGAAGGATTAAAGAAGTTACTATGTATAAAGTGTTAGAATAATGTTTGGTACTCAGATTAATTTTACAGGTTACTTAATATTGAAGTTAAGTTTCAACTTAACATTAAGTTGAAAGGGGGACTGGAGAGATAGTTCAGTGATTAGAAGGCTCTTGCTGCCCTTACAGGGGATCCAGCTTCAGTTGTGGTGACCACCATCTGGAACTCGTTTCAGGGGCTCTGACACCCTCTTCTGGCCTCCAAGGACACTGTATGCATGTGGTGCACTTTCTTGCAGGCTAAACACTCATACACATAAAATAAGCGTTAACAGAATATAAAAAAAGAAGTTGAAGATTATGGCCAATTAAAATTTCTAGAGCATACTCTAGAATTTCAGCCCAAGCTGCCACCAGTGTCATTTAAAAGGCGATAGAGAAATTCATAGCTGGTTGAAATTTTCATTGGACTGTATTGATACCTGTTTTCTTTTTTACTGGGGCTTAAACCCAGACCCTTGAACATACGAAGCTAGTATTCTCCCACTGAGTTATAGCTCAGCACTTTTTTTTTTTTTTTGGTTTTTTTGAAACAGGGTCTCCCTGTAGCCCCAACTGTCCTGGAACTCACTATGTAGATCAGGCTGGCCTCGAACTCACAGAGATCCACCTGCCTCTGCCTCCCAAGTGTTTTTTTTTATTTATTTATTTATTTATTTATTTATTTATTTATTTATTTATTTATTCTGGACTCAGGGAGGTTTCTCTGTAGCCTCAGTTGGCCTGGAACTCACTATGTAGACCAGCCTGGCTTCCATATAGAGAGCCACCTGCCTCTGGAGTGTTGGGATTAAAAGTGTGTCATTATCCCAGATTTGTAGACTTTTTAAATTTTGTTTTTTTAAAAATAATTTTGTGTATATTGCACTGTTAAGTGCACTTGTATTGTGCACTGCCCAAGGAGGCCAGAAGAGGGTGTAAGATCCCCTTGGAACTGGAATTATGGACAGTTGTTAGCTGGCCATGTGGTTCCTGGAAATCAAACCTGGGTCCTCTGCAAGAAAGAGCAGTCAGTGTTCATAACTGCTGAGCTCTCTCCAGCTCCAGTTTGTAGACTTTTAAATGGACAATTCTAATGTCCCTTGTGACTTGAGATTGCAGATGGCAAAAGAGATGAGAATCTAGTCCTTATATGGTATACATAGAGTTGTCTGAATCTTTCTCAGACATCATGCTCTTCTTATACTAGAACAGTTGGCTTTTTGCTTGATCTGTGAGAATTCTCCAGGTGACAAGGCAATTTCAGATTATCAACCCCGTCCTTCAGTTGCCTCCATTTTATTCCAAATTTTTTTTTTGGTTTCTTTGAGACAGGGTTTTCCTATAGCCTCAGCTGGCCTGGAACTCACTATGTAGACCAGGCTGGCTAGCCTCAAACTCACAGTGATCTGCCTGCCTCTCCCTCCAAGTGCTGGGATTAAAGGTGTGCACTACCACACCCAGCTTTTTTTTTTTTTTTTTAAAGACAGGGTCTTCCTGTAGCCCAGCTGGCCTGGAATTCTCTGTGTAGACCAGGCTGGCCTTGATCTCAGATCTGTCTGCCTCTTGAGTGCTGGGACTAAAGCTGTGTGCTACCATGCCTGGCTTTCTTCACGTTTCTGCTTTATTTTGAAGTGCTAGGGATTGAACCCAGGACCAGCAAATGGCAGGCACAACTCCACCATTTTTCTTGGTGCTTTACTTATACCAGTGTTTTTTTTTTTTTTAAAAATTAAATCTATTTGAGGCAAGCTGTCACTCTTGCCCGTGATAACCTGGAACTTATTCCATAGCCCAGGCTGGCTGGCCTCAAACTCATACTGATCCTCTGTCAGCCTTCAGAGTGTTGAGATTATAGGCATGAACCACAATGCCTGGCCACGGGTCTTGTTTGAGACAGGTCTTGCCAGAGTTTCAGTTGGCACTGACTCATCGTCCTGCTGCAGCCTCCCACAGGTTGCACCACCACACCTGACTTTATCATTAGAATTTTCTTATTTTTTGGTGCCTGTTTGTCTTAAACAGACTGAGGATAGCATGTATGTATTTTTTTCTCAGTACATACATATTGCTCACGTATTAACCCTTGTTCACAAACTACTGATTTTAAAACCTTTGTGATTGTGCCTGATCACCACAGGTCTTAAAAATGAAATTATGTATCAGTTACAGGTTACCCAATTCCTCCCTTTCCCCTGTGAGATGAGTTACTTTGTGTGTAAATGTCATATAGCAATCCCTGAAAAGCCTTTGACCCCCCACTTCCAGTATTTCCAAGTTAGGTCTAGAGTGGGCTTAAGAATGTCTGTGGAACAGATTTCCTGATGATGGTGTTTGTTCAGGGACTACACTTTGAGAACTACTGGGCTAGATAATAGAACACTGCTCTGATCATCTTCTCTGTTCTCCAGGTAGGGAAGACATACGAGCTCCTCAACTGTGACAAGCACAAGTCTATGTTGTTGAAGAATGGACGGGACCCTGGGGAAGTCAGACCAGACATAGCCCACCAGGTACTTCAGGAACAGAGCTGTTGACTCTACAGAAGTCAGCCAAACACTGCTTCTCTTAAGGCTTCACTATGCCTTGCCTTCTCCCTTCCTCAGAGCTTGCTCATGCTGATGGACAGTCCCCTGAACCGAGCTGGCTTGCTACAGGTTTATATACACACAAAGAAGAATGTGTTGATTGAAGTGAACCCCCAGACTCGAATTCCTAGAACCTTTGACCGCTTTTGTGGCCTCATGGGTAAGAAGGCTTGGAACATCAGTTCTGAATAAACTTGGCAAAGAAGAAAAAAAATTAAATGTTGAATCCTTCGGTTGGGAGTGACATGGCCGCCAGGACTGATCCCTCTATTATTTTTCCATGTGCACGGGAATTAAGCTCTATTGTTCTGGTCAAGTAATAAAGCGAGTCTGAGCCTGTCACAGTATTAGTGACATTACACTTGACAAGTGTTTGCTTCCAGCATTTTAAAGAGTATAGTCTGGAGGTAAAGGACACAGAACCCATTTTTACTTCTGGGTTTTCTGGTTAGCTCACTGGGTAGAAGAGTGTAGTCTCTGCCCACCTCTGAACTCTTTTTATTTTTTCCCTCTTCCTAGTTCAGCTTTTACACAAACTCAGTGTTCGAGCAGCTGATGGCCCCCAGAAGCTTTTGAAGGTGAGGTGTTGAAGCCTATACTTGTAGGGTTCTGGGTCTCTTTCTGGGACTGATTTTTCTTTGTTTCTTTAGGTAATTAAGAATCCAGTGTCTGACCACTTCCCAGTTGGTTGTATGAAAATTGGAACTTCCTTTTCCATCCCACTCGTCAGTGATGTGCGAGAGTTGGTGCCCAGCAGCGACCCTATTGTTTTTGTGGTGGGGGCTTTTGCCCACGGCAAGGTACAGTCCGGGCTCCACCCTTAGATTCTTCAGAGAGCCGAAGCTCAGTGCAGAATTCCATGAGCAGTTAGCATTGTGATAATCCTTGTAAATTTAATAAACTGGGAAATATAGGGTATGAAAGAAACAAGTGGTAGTGGCATTCCTGCCCCAGCATGCATCCTGTGATAGACAGAGCTACGCTTTTCAGTCAGTGGAAATTTGAGTTTAAGCTGCACCACCACTGAAACATTACTCAGCCATGCTTTACTGCCCTGACCAGACCGTTTCTCTTTAGGTTGATGTCGAGTACACAGAGAAGATGGTGTCCATGAGTAACTACCCCCTCTCTGCTGCCCTAACGTGCGCCAAACTTACCACAGCCTTTGAAGAAGTATGGGGGGTCATCTGACAACAGCAGAGCCTGGTTCTGAAACAAAGGACTCTTGGCATTATGCCCGAGGACTCTGGCTGCCGGAAGATGCTCTTCCTCTACCAAGACTTTGGAGTCTAGGGAAACCAAACACTGTATATTTATTTTTCATTTGTCCTATATTGTTTTTTGCAAACAATACACGTAGCAGTACATGGTGGTATAAACTGTTTCTAGGATCAGGGTCAGGTATGAGGCTGAGTTTGTGGTTCTAGTCCTTTGAAGATAGCCTTTGGTTCCGGATTTCCTAGATTCTTGTGCTCTAAAGGAGGGACCCTGATGACCTCAGCTTACAGAGAACCATACAAGAAAAATAGTCAGGGATGCCAGCAGTGAAAAACCAAACAAACAGAAGTGATTTTATATGGTATAGTTTCAAGATAGAAAAAGTGGAGCAGGCAGGGCCTTGTACCCGTCCTTCCCCCCCATGGGGGGGGTGGCGGGATCGGCACATATACAATCGTAATAGATTGGCAGAAGAAGAACACAACAGATTCCTGGCTAGAGGGAAGAGATAAGGCAACGTGCATGGGGGAGTCCCAAGGGGGCACAGCCCCTTTGCTCCTCCCACAAGAGCTTCCCCTTTGGCCCAGTGAAGACGGTGGCAGCAGAGGCCCAGCTGGGAGCACTGCAGCTTCCAGCTCCTGGCGTCTCTGTCCTCTGCTCTGGGTGCGGAGTGCTGTGGAAAGGGGGACAAGTAGTTTCTGCACCAGTCCTGCTTGAGGCCACCTGTAAGGCAAGGCATGTGGTTGGAAGGCTGACCAGAGTGGCACCTAGTCCCGTCTGTGGCCCTGGCAGCTTCTTCCTGGCAAGTTAGCCAGTGCCCCAGTGTATAAGCTATACTGAAATGTACCCCCAATTTTCTATGCCTCTTTCCCCATAGTCTATGGTCCTGTAGCATGTAGACCATTTACTTACCCTGGAAGTAGATTATTCCTTCTTTTTTAACTTCTCTTTCCTTGGCACCATTGCTTTGTGAATATAAGGCAATGTGACTAGTAGGCTCAAGAAGAAGATGTGTCCAAGAAAGTAGATGGATTGATAGACCTGTGGAAAGACAGGCCACCAATGTGGAACGTGAGGTATGGGCTGTCCTTTGCTACTGTGGTTCTGGTGCCTCCCTGGCAGCCCTGCAAGCAGCTCTTCACTTACCTTAAGCCATTTGTCCCATGTGAAGAGGCAGAAGGCAGTCATGGAGTAACCCATGAAAAGCCAGTGGATGGTCTGTTGCACCAAGTAGTAGAAGGGCTGTAGGGCAGTGATGGAGGCTAGGCTGCTCAGGGCTGGGCTCTCTTGAATTAGGCTGGCAGCCTAGGAGGGAGAGAAGTCATCAGTGTCTTGTTCCCCTTCTCCCCCCCTTCGACCTACCACTCTCGAGTCCTACCTGCTTTTCCACAATAACAATTAGGAATTCCATCTGGAAGCAAATCAGGTATCCTGAGTGTAGGCCATGCCAGAGGGCCAAGAACAGCAAGGAGAGACCCTGTGATAATTCTTTACTTCCAAGGAACTTGAGGCGTTTGAAGATGTAACTAGAGAAAAAGTGGGTAAGGGATGAACATTAGACTGACCCCTTGTATTTCTACCGTCCTGCCTCTGGGTCTGCCCTGAGTGGTATGCTGGTGGCTCCCACTTGTGACCACTGAGGGAACCGGAAGCAGTGTTGATAGGGCAGCATGAGATGGAGGAAGGTGTCTGGTGTTGACACAGTAGAGATGCCAGGCTTAGTGGGGTGAATGTAGTGAGCCGCTTTTTTCAGCAAATGAAGCTGAGCACCTACTAAATGCCTGAGACCAGAGGAGTGTGGTAAAAGGGCAGGTTAATCTTGGGCTTAAACTCTAGTGAGGAAAAGTGAGTAATGGCTACAGACAGGATCACAATGAAGAAGATAAATAGCACAACTGGGTTAGGGAGCCTGGGCTTTGGGTATTTTCATAGAATCTTTTGGGTGGGTCTGGGTGAGGGACAAAAGCCTATCTGAGCTGGGTGTGGTGGCACGTGCTTTTAATCCCAGCACTTGGGAGGCAGAGGTAGGCAGATCTCTAGAAGGAGTTCAAGGCCAACGTGGTCTACACAGTGAGTTCCAGGACAGCTGGGGCTACAGGGAGACCCTGTCTCAAAAAGACAAAAAAAAAAAACAAAACCAAAAACAAAACCAAAAACCTGAGAGTGACAAGCAGGGAACACTGGCAGGTGACAAAAGGTCCCTGCTCCCAGTCTACTGCAAGGAAGGAGCTCGGGCCCAGGCCTCAGTTGCTTACCGGGCCACCCAGGTGTTGGTGTTGATGTTGAAAGAAGCAATGGTGCCATTGAAGCGAGGAGTTGTTTCAAAGAGCCACACCTTCATGTTGGCACAGGCATCCCACTTCGCTTTCCCATCTTCTCCGAAGCCACTGAAGCCCAGCCCCGACAAAATGCATACTCCTTCCTGAGGGGAGGGACAGCTCAGGGTTCCTGCCACTCCATCCTACTAGCCTCCCCAGCTTGTCTAGATATGACTGTTTCATCTTTCCTACTTACTGTGACCAGCCAACAGGTGACGTATTTGTACAGCACAAATTTGCCCCAGACCAGCATGTACATGCAGCGGAACCAGAAAGGGCGGTTCTTAGAGAAGAGAGCACACGAACATTAGGGATGGCACACGGGCATGAGAGTCCCCTAACAGTTATTGTCAAACTTGTGACTGGCTCCTTTACACCTGTCAATTCCCGATGATACGTACCACAATGGTCTCACCACCTGCCACTACACCCAGCCAGGAGGAGCAAGGCCAACACCCACTTATTTCCTCCTCCCCAAAGCCTGAGCGTTTGTGCAATAAATACAGAGACCTGACATATCCACAGTTGATGCTAATTTTCAAAGAAAACTATCTAGAATGGATGAGGGTGAGCCTTTCAGCTGGACCAGAGCAAAAGCTAACATCTCCCTCTCCCTTGGTTTATCAACTCTGTACAAGCCCCTCAGTGTGTTGGTTAGAAGAAAACAGGCTGCAGAACCAGCAGCTGCTGCACTCCAAGGAGTCACTTGGATGTAATAAAGCGAACCCAAAGCTGTGCCCAGGAAGGCTATTCAGTGAGGGTGATGGTTTTGTCCTGGCCTGGCTGTCACTAAGGCCAAAGCTTACAGATCTAGAGAAAAACTAACATGCCTTTGTAGATGGCACAGCCCATGTCTAGTTACAGGGGTTCTTGCTTGCTCCCTTCTGTGAGGTAGGCAGTCACACTGCTGTGGAATGGGGCAGAAGCTTTGCCCCTGGTGCCAAGTCCGTTTTTTTTTTTTTTTTTTTTGGTGACAACAGCCTTCCTCTTTCCCTCTGGTTAAATCCTTAACTTTCTGTGTTGGCAACCACTCACATCATAGTCTTCAGTAAGGAGATAGTCTTCTGTGATGTGTGGGCTCAGGAGGGTGTAGCCCACTAGGTAGATGAGACCCAGACTCAGGCGCTTGAGAGCAGGTATGGTGCTGGAAAGGAACAAGTGGGGTCACAGACAGCAGAGCCTCGCCCTTCACCCTCTGACCTGCAGTTATGGAAAGGAGTGTTTTAGGGTGTGGCTACTGCAGGGAGTGGTGCCAGGAGCTTTGCTTCTGGAAAAGACAGGTCTATGTGGTTAGCTATTTGCAAACCTACAAACCTCTAAGAGTGGTAGGAAGGGCAGAGGGAACAGTGTTGGGGAGTCTGGTGGGGGTTAACTTTTAGCGCATGCCACAAAGTTCAGAATCTTACCAGGATTCTCAACCTATGGCAGACCTAAAAACCCCATGTAAACAGTAACTACCATTTTCAAGTCTGCTCCTTCTATTGGTTGGACTCGATGCTTAGGGCGACAAATTCCCAGTGAAGGGATTATAGTGGCTTTTGAATCATCTTCTGATGTATATCCATATACATTTTGGTTTGGGGTTTTTGTTTTGAGACAGGGTCTCCCTGTAGCCCGCCAGCTGGGCTGGACTTGCTATGTAGACTAGGCTGGCCTCCATCTCACAGAGATCTGCTTGCCTCTGCCTCCTTAGTTGCTGGGATTAAAGGTGTGCACCACCAGACCTGGCCATATACATTTTTGCATAACTTTTTTTCTTCTGAGACAGGGTCTTCCTATGTAGTCAAGGCTGTCTTGGAACTTGTGATCCTCCTGCGTCTCCCTCCCAAGCGCTGTGACTACAAGGGTCCACCACCATACCTGGCTTTATTTTAGATGAGGAAAGAGGCTTGAAAGGCCATGGCATAACTGGTGGACAAAAATCCTGTGGCATAAAAATGCACTTTTTCATTTGCACTAGGGTCAGCACGAATGGCTAGAAGCAACATAGGCTCAAGAACAGGTGGAGACGTCCGGGCTTGTGTGAGGGGCCAGTGCTAGGCTGGCTTCTGGGAAAGTCACTTCGGAAGTGACTGTACTGGGTGAGATACCTACACAGAGATCTTGACCAGGAGGGGCAATTACCTGTTTGGCATCTTCCCTGGTATGTCAGTCAGCTGTCCCTGCACCAGCTTCATGTAGTGGTTCATTGAGAACTGGGGCCCTACCAAGAAGGCTCCATAGAAGTAGGAGAAGCCAGCAACTTCCAGCAGGGAAGGGACACCCCGTATGGCATATGTCTGTTGCTCAGAGGACAAGGAATTCTATGCCAAGAAGAGAATGCATGGTTCAGGACAGCCTTGAATTGTCCCCCAAGAGCCAGTCTGAGTGTTCCCACCCTGTGCCCTACTGCCTGGGGCTCTTTAGCTTGGTTTCTCTTCAGGAGATGTAAAAGAGTTGCTTCATGTGGAAATGTGCGGGGTAGCTTAGCCAACAGCTGCCTGTTGCTGCTCTGACAAATGCCTGGCATTGATCTCTGGACTTTTGTGCAAGAGCTGAATCCTGGACAAGTTACATTGGTTGGTCCTTGCTCAGCGCTATCTTAAACAGGTATCACATAGGCTAGGGAATGGGGCAGAAGCTTTGCCCCTCGTGCTAAGTCCATTTTTTTTTTGGTGACAACAGCCTTCTTCCTTCCCTCTGGTTAAATCCTTAACTTTCTGCAGAGGAGTGGATACTTACCCAGTCTTTCCCTCCATCATAGTAGTCAATAGCCAAACCTAAGTAGAGAGAGAAGGGGTGGGTAGAGTGGACAGGGAACACTGAGGATGTGGCCTGTGGGCTGAGTATATATACCAGGGGGAGCGTCAGCATGGTTTATGTTGGTCCAGTGGGGAGGGCCCAGCTTAGAGAAGGCAGGCAGTGCCCTAACCACTCACCAATTAGCTTCAGCGTCAGGACACAATGTGGCATTGTCCACTTGATATCGTAGTCACCAGTGGCTGTGTAATAATATCCAGCAAGAAGGTAGGCCTACGAGAGGGGAAGTCTTTATTCCACTGTTACTGCCTTTCTTCTCTTCTGCCCTTCCTCCTCTTCTTTCTAGTGGTCTACGAACTCCAACTCTCAATCCCCCTGTCTCAGCCTCCCAAGTGTGCGCCACCATGCCTGACTTCTTA